GATCTTAAAGTGATCAAAATCTGCAAAAAGTACCGGTAGCGTGATTGCCGCAATGCTTGAAGCTTCCATATGAAGTGGAGTGGTCCACCTTGTGGGGTCATAGCCAATTTCAGGTCGGCAAAACGCGCTATTCGGGTGGATTTCAGTGGAATGTTGAGGTGGAGGTGAGGCTGGCTTAACCGGGGACATGGCAGCACCCCCATGCGGCCCCGGTGTCGCCGCCGAAGGGTATGGCTCCGGTATGGCGCCGACTGGTGAATAGACCGGGCGACGGGCGCGTTTCGCGCCCAGTTGCGATGGCGCCTCGCCCGTAGCGTTTAGCAGTTGGTCGCTTTCCGGGCCGGTTAGGGCCCCGTCAAAGGCAATTATTGATGAGGAACCTGAAATACGGCTGTTCTCGTAATTTTTTTTGATTTCAGGTCTACGGAACAATAATTTTTTAAATTTCTGATTTGTGAAATTGCGAATTTTTCATTTCAGGTCTGCCTTGCACCCTAATTTTTTAAATTTCAGGTCTGTCGTACACCCGATTTTCTTTTTTATTTCCAATCTTAGAACGCCCAACTCCACGGATCAATTAATATCTTTCTGATCTATCGGTCTTTCACATTTGACTACCGCATTGCTCTATCAGTCAGATGGCTCGTTCTAGTGATCAAATTGCTGATCATTCTAGTGATCAAATTGTTGATCACTCTAGTGATCAAATTTCTGATCATTCTAGTGATCAAATTGCTCTATCATTTCATCAATTTTTTGTGAAATTTTGAGTAAAACCCAAGAAATAATGAATAGATCTTACAAGTATCATGATGTGTAGCAGCTGGTGGGAACCATGTCCTTGCCACGTGGACAATTTTACGTTTCCGGACCACTTGTATGGCCAGGACGCATGATATAGCCGTCCCAAATACCGCTAAACTCAACAGAACTAGTACCCTAGTGGGCGCCGTTCCACTATTTTGCTTTCCCGCTCGGGTATCTGCCCGTGCCGAATACACCGGGATGCCCATCCGATGAAGCGCCTGAAATTTC